ATCGATCCCATACATTACTTTTGTAATCATAGATACATTTACTTTATCATCAGTAGTGGTATTTTGAAGATACCACCACATAGGTGACTATGTAGTGTATACCTATTTATATATATTATATATATATACTTAAAACAAATGTATTTATACATAAATAAGCGAATATTTTACGAAAACACAACTGATCACAAAACAATAATGATAATATTAATTTTATAATAAAAATCTTCTCAGCTTCGCATCAATGCTAAAACTATAAATATGAATTATTAATAATAATTCTTTTCAAATTTTTTTGGGACGCTCAAGTACTTATAAACCATTTTTTTCTATTTCACATAACTTATGTGAAAACATTTTACTTAAAATAAAATAAAACAAAATATTAAACATGAACTCTTTAAATATGAATTTATTTATTTCTGTATAGATAAAATTTTCATATTAAAATAAAATATATACAAATTAAATGTTTACAATAAATAAAAGTTGAAAAATGAAAAAAAAAAGAAGAATTTTATCACATCATAATAGTTTTTTTCTTGTCTCGATTGCAGCAAAAATGTCAATTAGCATATTAAAATGTAGTAAGTCAGTAATTTCTTGTTCAATTGACAGAGTAGCTAGGCTTGTAAGAAGCTTACGCTGTGGTAAAGTACTCTTTAAGTAGTTTTTTATTATTTTTAATTTGGAAAAACTTTCCGCACTAGCAGATGTTATTGGAATTGAGAGAATTACTCTGAGTGCAATTAAAATATTTGAAAAAAAATCGCAACATATTTTTAGTACTGAAAGAGCTTGAAAAGCTGTCGTTTCTTCAGAAATCATAGTACAAAAATAAGCAATTTTTCATACAATTTTTAACCATTTATATTTTTTAATTCATCTTCAGTGAAAACGTTTTTAGAACGATCATGGCAACATTTTTTTAACTCCTCTTTTTACCATGAATTTTATTTTGTTAATTCGATACAAAAAACCAAAGTTATTATTAAACGATTTAATCTGTGAAAATCTCATATTCATGGTAACGATAGCTTGATCAACAATAGTTAAATAATAATCTTGATAAAAATTAGTTTCTTCATTTTTAGATGGTTTATCTTGAGTTTCATATGACAACATTTTTTTTTTTTTGGTTCGTATACGGTTTTTCTTCGTTTCGATTCCTTATCTTTTTGCCAGCTGATGTTCATTAAATAATTCGTCCAATTCATCATCATAATCTTCTATAGTATTGAAATCATCAATTTAAACAATAGTTCGATCACATTTGAGACACTTTTAAGACAAAGAATTCCATCTAAATTATCAATCTCTGTAGCCTATTTTTCAATTTCATAATCAAGATTTCGAATATCGTCATCAAATTCTTCACAAGACGAGTATGAATAATCTGATTCCAGTAAAGCATCATTAATAAGTGAAATCTGTTGTTCGTGTCAACGTTCATATTTTATTAATTACAAAACAAAGAAAAGTTTTTTCTGTACGACGTTTTTATTGTTTAGTATTTCGTAATAATATTGGTAGTGATAAATGAATAATTTGATAAAGTGAAAATCGATTGAATATTGATATTACAAAAAAAATATGTCGACTACAGTGTAGACAACATTCGGCGCTAAAACCAGATAACTTCGGAGCTTTTCAATGAAAAAAAAAAACCAGACAATTCCCAGTTCCATTATATTTCCTATACTGGTGGTCAGATTTGTCTCGTTCTTACACAGATATACTCATCAAATTTTTCTCAATTGGAAACTGCCAAAAACCCAAATTTGCTAAAATTGAAGTTGTCTCGTTTTTGTACGGATCCCTTCAATTATGAGCCTTACGTTCATGTTGTAAAAGTTTTTGCGACAAATGCTTCCTAGTCGTTTACACCTTCCTTAATATTGGCTAAATTACTTTCCGATTTTCCTTGACTAAATAGTACGCAACAAAAACAAAACACTCGCTCTATTAATTTTGAGTACAAAAGCCACTGGCAATCTACAACTTCTATATTAGGCATATTATGAGTATAATATTGTTTTTTAAATCTTCTTGGATAAGGTTTATCCATCATTATACGGAAAGTTGTATTAATTATTTTAATAGTCCCATATTTAACAATATCGGCCTTTAATCATTACTTGTATGGTCTGGCCAAGTTGCCGGGTCATTGAAGTTAAATATTGTACCTGTATCAATAATTTCGGATTCAGAGTTTAATTCATTTTCAGTTGAATTATTTTCTACATTTAGATCATTATCGGTATCATCAATTGGAAAGTCGAAGTCTTATTCCTACAATTTTTGGCCACATGGCCCTTCTTACAAAAGTTACATGCTGCTAAATTGAAAATAATTAATAAATAAGATTGAGAATTTAAACTGTATATTCAACAAATACTATAATAAGGAATCATTTTGGTCCTCGTTAANATGGCCCTTCTTACAAAAGTTACATGCTGCTAAAATAATTAATAAATAAGATTGAGAATTTAAACTGTATATTCAACAAATACTATAATAAGGAATCATTTTGGTCCTCGTTAAGTTTGTTTGGTCGACATACATATTTATCAAAAGTCATACGTTCTTTTTTTTGTAACTCTTCTCTCTGTTTTTTCTTCTTTCTTCTTTCAGCTTCACAAATATACTTCCGAAATTTATCAGGATCAGACATTTAATATTTGAAAAGAGAGGTAGGGATCTTCAAGAAAAATATTTTGTATTACAGTAGAAGTCCGATAATCGGTCATCCAACAGTCCGGTAAGCCCGATAGTCCGGCATCGCTCCGAAAATTTGTAAAAATGTTTGTTTTCTCCAAAAAAATGCCTTTAAAGCAAATAAAAACGATCAGGAGCTATTCGGAAGTTTTCAGTGTATTCGGGATCATCCGGACGGATTAACAATAGAGCAAAAAACTAATAACCAACAATAGTGGACATAGTAGTACTCGGACCGGTCTAATTTTGTCATATACACATATGACAAAATTAGACCGGTCCGAGTACACTGAACGCGCGCTTAAAATTTGATAACAGGAAATTGTATTACACGGCCTCGACAGTATTGTTCATGAACAATTAGCGGCCGGCTAGTCTCAGTTATCACAACAAATACAGGCGCAGTGCAGTACAGTTAATCAATCACGAAGCGTCTTCGCTATTTTTTTGTGCGTTTTGTGTCCTTTTACATTGTAGTAAACTGTGTCTCAGTACTAGCTACAGTACTTCAGAAATGATCGATCTCCATAATTATTAGATATAAATTTTATACTAAACGCCAAAAGTCAAGAAAACATAAAGACAATCGGGACTTTTTTAAAACTAAATGAAATGTGTATTACAGTACTTGCACATAAATTATATGAAATGTAAAACAAACTTTTTTTGTATTTGCATACTGTATTTTTAGTTTAATTATTAATCTAATTGTTCTTATAGCAAAGCCTACACTAAAAGGAAAGGGCACCGCCTGATAGACCGGAATTTTCAATAGTCCATCACGGAGCCGGTCCCGAACGTGCCGTATTATCGGAATTCTACTGTATAATTAAACAATAACGCAGGCAAACCAAAATTTCTCTGTTGATTATTTCTTAGTATGGATATCATATTTTATCATCAAAGCGATAACAATATATTACAATAAGTACTGACCTACTCAAAATAATGTTAAAGATTAAAATACCAAAAAAAAAAAAAATTCATAAGACAGACGACACTTGTTATTTTATTTTAAAGCAAGATTTTAGGTATATTCCGCATACAAATCATTAAATCCCTCGAAGGGCACGGGGTCCTGGACAGCTACCCCATCTGCCCTGCCCTACGGCCAGCGCAGATTAATTCATAATGAAATAACAGGATCTATGCAAGGAAATTGTATCATGTTAGATAATACTGAATTTTTATCAACAACAAAATTAAAAGAAAATATGAAGATTATTTGAACTTATCATTTAAATGGTGTGTCAATCAAAAACAGTGGTTGATGACTACTTTGAGAATTTCATACATTTGAGCAAATTTGTAAATGGGGTATCAACATATAACTGGATTTGTAGCCAAAAAATTAGCTACAAAAATTCATTGTGATGAATATAAACTGAGCTTAATTTCATCTACTCACAAGAACAGTTTGACAGAAATTAAGAATCGCGGTTATCTCACAAAACCAAGTCCTTATGTTGAGATAATCTGTAATGTAACTATTTAAACAGTACATTAATCACATCCATTAAATAAATCAATAAAAAAAATTTTTTTAAATTAAAATTAAAACTGAACTTTGTAGAAGTTATAACATATTTTCAAAAGTAACTCGTGGAGATAATGTTTGGTTAGAAATTGACCACAAAAACAACATGATAAATTTAATAGTGTTGAAGTATTATATGTTAGAATGTATTACAAAGTTAGAACAAGAAATGAAGAACGCATTAAAACTCGAGCAAAATAAAGTCTATTTATTTCAATCACGATTAATTTTTGTTACTGTTTAACTCTATTTTACACTATTATACATTACATAACTTATACTAATTAATAATTACTAACCATTAAAAAATAAAAAGTAAAATATTATCATGTAATAATGCAAACAAATAGCCTTAATTTACTATCACCACAGTCTTCACTGATAAAGCATCAATGGCCTATCCATGTTTATAAAGTCTATGACTATAAACGATTGTAATAATCAATTTTGATTGTTGTCAATAGATTTCACTTTTTGTAAATATTATTGATAATAAATAAAAATAGACTATTCAGATTGATACCTACTTATTTTTATTTCTAATTGTTTGCGTTTTTATACAAATTAAGTAAACCTGCGTATGTGTAATATTTTCACAGAGTATAGGTTAATTTACGAAATCGAGCAAGTGTATTTGCCGCTTATCCGCGTATAACACCACTGCCCTAGATTGGATATGAGGTACAAAAAAAAAATTTAGAAACATAGACATATCATTTTGTATATTTACTCGTTTTCACCAAACAGATTATAATGTAACCATTTAAATTAATAAAACATTAATATTAATAATTAATCATTGTTTCAGTAGTTTAGCTTCAGTAATATATCTAGAATGCGTTATATGTTTAACATATAAAAAATTAAATTTACATAATTTTGAACATAATATATAATACAATAATCATTTAATTTGTATATTGTAAATATGTGACATACGTCACTTTTAGTGATGCATATCCCTAAAAGTGTATTATAAACATATATGAGATCACAAAACAAAAATAATATTTGTATATCTACAATGTGATTTATTAGGAATACTAAACATTTTTTGGTTAAGTAATGATTTTTTTATAAAAGTGTACTGTATAAAATTTTGTTTGTAAACCATGATAATTGTAAGTTTAATGTAGGAAAACATTATTTTTAATGGTACCTTTTGAAGGTTTGTTTATTGGGAACATGTATAAGACAGGTTTAGAATTCTACTGCGTTATGAATCCCCTCGTTATATCTGAGTTATAGTTTCCCAAAAGTTGTATTTCTAAACTTGTTATCAACCAGTCAATTTTTTTAAATTATTCATTACACGATATAAAATTAATTATAGGTCCTCGTTTAGCTTTCAAAATTTACCTATAGAACTACTTTTTACTATAACGTTTTTTCTAAATTAAACTTGATAATTATGGTGGTTCACATATTAAACAAAACTTTCAATAATCATCATTTAATCAAAAGATTGTGAGTATTATTCTTAATAAATTATACTGTAAGTATAAATGATATAAATAAATAAATAAATGGAAAAATAACAATACCACAATACTATCATTGATATTAGTTATGATTAAAAAGAGGGATTGAGATAGGGCGAAATATATTGATGGTGTTTTATATAAAGAGTGTATTAAAAAAATATATATAAAAAAAATTGTTTGCGATTAAAAATTTGCAAATATTAATTATTGTTTTTTTTTCCATAATTTTATAGTTGTGTATAAATTAATTAACTTTAGTAGGCGCACTAGCATATACTGTTTTCCTTTTTTTCGTATTTGCTCTTGTAACAAAACACCACCGATATTATAACAAGCATATTTATATATTTGTATGTATTCTAAAATTTAATTTTCGAGCTAAGAAAAATGCGTACATGAAAAAGTCAAAAAGAAAAAATAAAAAAAAAAATACGATTTATTGCACGTACATATAGGTATATAATTTTTTAATAACAACACACGATAAAATATCTTTGTACAAGTTATGTTTTGTTTTTATTTTTTTTTTACAAGTATTATGCAAAAGTTACTATTTACAATAAACGTCACTTATGTTTACATAATTTTCTAATTATTTCGGTTTAAATAAAACGTAATTTTTTTTTTTTGTATAAAAAAGAATTTATTATTAATCATGATATTTGTGGACTATAAAACCTACTGAGCCACCATGGCATTTTTTAACGCGAGATCGACACACAAGTTAACGAGTCGTTTGCTGTTTAGAACAGCGAAGAAGACGTGTCCGATGATGTGACCATTATATCAGTCTGTTGTTGGTTGACGCCTCGCATGTTGTTTGCATTGGCATCGCAGTCTCCCATCGCCTGGCCGTCGACTGTTCCCGATGAGGTCATCAGCACGTCAGATGTCAGATTCCGGCTTCGGAAACCTCCTCCGTTGTTGTTGACCAACATAAGGGCGTCCGCAGACAGACTCAATATTTTGGCACTGTGCTCTTGCGCTTTGGCTCGGAGACACGCAATACTGTTGTTTCTAAACTCTTCCGAGTCCTGCGCTCGATTAACAGCCAATTGCATGACTGCCGCGTGGTGCTGTTCCATCTGCGACTGTATTTCCTGTTGAATCCGCCGATGGGCTTCCGCGTTGGCCGCACATTGCTGTTGTTGTCGGTCCTGGGCCGCTGCAACCGCTTCGGCGCCATGTTGTTGGTGGTGTCTTTGTGGCGACATGTCCGTCGGTATTTCTGGACTAGTTCTTCCTGACGTCCTCTTTGAAGTGTCGTCCTCGTCTTCATCGTTTACGTCTTCGTCTTCTTCGTCGTCGTCTTTGAAACTTTTTTGACTTGTCCCACTGCATACTGTGTTATCGTCTTTTAGTTGATCAGCCGCTTCTATCGATTTTCTGTGCATACCTGAAACATTAATGGCTAAGTATTAATTTTAAGAGCCATGGCTCTTTTCAAGCTCTCTCAGACAACGTAACAACAGTGTGTTGTTTTACATTCGGTAAACTTTCATAGTGACGGAACTGATGAAAAGTAATTTTCATAGCCCAACAATATCTACCAAACGTCGTAGTACCGAATCGACAGTTATCAATCGCTACTTGTACTTAAACTTGGGTAGAAAATTCTTCTCGCATCGTTATGATTGTATTGTCTGGAATGTTAAGAACACGGGGAAATGTAATGGACAAATGGTTAGATTTCAAAAATGTAAACACTAATAGCTTTGACCGTGATCGTGTCGAAATGGATAAGACAATACAAAATAAATCCACTATTGAGTGTCCTTTGTGATTAATATTGTGTAAAGAACATCATACTATTAAGTGTTGCCTATCTGAATGCATTCTAGGAAACGAAATAATGGAATTGATGCGCTTAGGTAATGGTACGGGACCAGTGAATAATTGTATTAAATTATTATATAGTTCTCTGGTTATGGCGTGAAAATATAGCGAATTCTATGGAGTAACCGTCGGCCATTACGATTGTAAAACAATGCCACTCTAAGGGAAACGATTTTAAACAATGGCTATTGTGCTAATATTCTCGAAGCTGTTTTTGTATTCCCATAGTGACTAATTGGTAACGGGCACGTGGGCAATGAGTGCTAGAGAGAAAAATAGATAACACTTACCGAGCAACCAAGGAGCAACACACTCGTTTTCCTTGGCACTTTTCAAAATCGTTTCGGGCAGTGGCAGTGAATGTCTGACCATAGCACCGTATAAACCATATTCTGCCATAATTGTGCTCCTTCCCCAGCATTTTTCGGTTTTTCGCCATTTTGCTCGGCGATTTTGAAACCAGACCTAAATATAAAAATGTCGCTATTCAGTAATTAATGAGCAAAAACGAACCTTATCAATACGAATCGTTGATAACTTGTGGCTGATGTTATTAAATATAAAAAACACAGAAATATACGTGCTCGTAGAAAATCGTCTCTACGCAGAATTTATTGTTTATAACGATAAAATAAATACATAGTCGAGAACTAACTTCTACAGTTGACCCAACTACAATTCAGTTGCAATTATTAAATGAATTTAGTTAATTAGTTTGTGTAGTTTATACGAGATAGTTCTTTTTATAAATACATACAGCTGTATTTAAAATTTAAATAGGACTTTCAGTGTTATATATAAGTAGATCCAGTTAGTAACTTGACAAGATACCCGACACTAGTTTTAATGTTATTCTTTAATTGACTTATATAAAGTGGTTTGCGATTTTTTGACAAATTGCGTAATTGTTACCGGATATTTTCAATTGATTTTTGTTTCTTAATCATTTTTACATTTTTGCACTCAATTAAATGTATTCATTTTAATTATACAATTTTATAATAGTTGCAAGAATTAGTTGCATTGAGTGGGAATGCGTTAAAATCATTACAACACAGTAAGTAATTATCATAAAGCTGTTATCGAAACATTTCGTAAAGAAAGGCTAAAAAATTACTATTTTGAAATTTAAAAATATAATAAATTTTATTTTTATTAGAGCTAAATAATGCTGTTTATTTTAAAAAAAAGTAATGCAAAATATTCGCCGTATCAAAAGTTATAATAACTTTTAATAATAATAGCAGTTCTGTAGCTTTGTCAAAAAATGGTCGACCATTGTGTATAATAATCACAGGCCAATTGTCATTTAAAATATTGTAAAAGCCACTTTTTATTTTACTATAAGACATATAGATTTTAATTAAATTTTTATATACATAAGAATTTAAGCGACAATTGTATAACTGGGTTGAACATATAAAATTATTTGCCCTTTTTTTTATTATGTTTATTAACGCGCTAACAAAATATATTCATAATATGTCTATAAGTTTGTTCACCCCATTTTCGTTTAAAACTGTGTGTTGGATAAGTTTAAATTAAAACAGCCGCGGCATCATGATGAAATAGCAATAATTTTTGAGAATAGAACTTGGACATTATTAGAAATTCATTGCAACCCTCCTATTATGCTGCCAATCGAATGGCAAATACATACACCCAACGTTTGGAATTTGGCTTTATGATCGTGTTTTCAATGGGTTCCTCCTGTCACCGTCCGACAATAGTAGAAGTGTAATAAAGCCAAGAAGATAATCCGATTATGACGTTTTTGTAGTTCAGTTAATTGAAATTACTCGAAAATACGACTAGACATTAAAAATAAAAAATATCGTTGAAACATTTTATCAAAATAAATAAACCGTTTTCAGCAATTTTACATTTTACTTAATGACGACAGTTTATAGAAAAAAATTTAATTTTTTGACATAAAGTACTCTGAGGTTTTATTAGCCATGTAAATTATCATTTGTCTATTTTAAATTATATACGAAAATCATTTCATTCAACTATCTTTTGTTATATTAATAATTTAATGTAAAGTTTATTTTTAAAAGCCATCATTTCTTGTGTACTATTACTTTTTAAACTAGTCGCTCAAATCGAATTTTCTAAATATCACTAAAATATGTTTAGCGCGAGTGTTAAAACAATATGCAATTAACTCATTTCTGTTAAGAATGTTTGTAACATATTTTTGCAATTAGCCATCGACATAACAAACTAATCGAAATTTAAGCTGAACATTAGACACTGACACATAGTGTTCATTTAATATAATACCAAGTCATGGCTAAAAACCAAAAAGTTCCATGTTAGATTTTTTAAAAATTATGATTTTAAAAATATTATTGTAAACTATTAACCCTTTATAGTTTTCTGTAAGAGTTAATTAACTTCAGTAGTTACTATTTAATTATTTAACGACATACAGGAACCAAAAGGTTCTATATTCTATATGTTTACAATAGTGATTAAATATTGCCTGCTTTTGTTGTATCATAATACTGTCTTAAATTTTTTTAAGAATTGTTTTTGGTCTTCGATTTTAAACATTTTAAACGCACAGAATTTTATGAAGTTATCGTGTAAAAAAAACACCACAATATGCGATAATAAAAATGTCGAACTTCTCCACACTACAAGCTTTTACCATTCGAACTTACATTTTTCTATTCGCTTAACAAGGTTAAATAATAATGTTTAATGTCGAAATCATGAAGTTTTATTACCTCACTTTAATTCCGTCCTATTAATAATTATTCGCTTAACACTACAAAGTGTCAAATACGATTCATTATCATTCTTGGCGCGTATTTCACGTTAAATGTCTTGTTTGTACCCAGCCCAAAAAAACTTTCCTTTGCTGTTGAAGTGATTTATGTTTTATGTAAAAATATGTGATTTATTAACATCACCCTCATTCAGGAATTTTCTTTTAAAAATTTCAATACTTTTTACGCACAGAGATTTAGTGGTCGAAAGGTATGTACATTTTGTACCACAGTCACGTTGGAAATTGTTAACGGAAAACTCACATACAATTAAAGTGTGCTGCTAGATAGGAAACCTCTTATTTTATTTTATACTTTGAAGGTTTTTAATAAACACATCCGTTATTTAAAAATATTACTAAATATCATTGTGTTAAAATAAAATTTAAATTTTTTTATTAATAACATAAAAATCAAGATGAAAAGTAATAATTACACCACCGAATTCAACACAACACATATACGTAAATCAGTTGGTAACATATAATTACTTAATTTTAATATAATTGCGATGGAAAATTAATTATAAAGACAATTTTTGCAAAATGTCTAGATTTACACATGTTCTTCTATTTACAGAAATGATGTAATTTTTTAATTACGGATTAAAAAAAAATTGCATTAAAACTATCATGAAATTATATTTTTAATACATTATTTGAACATTTATAACTGGGGGAAAAACTAAAAAAATGTTATTGACTAATAAGTACTATAAACAAATTTAAAAGCCTATAAAACAGATAAAACTTGTCGCAATAGTCTCAAATTTCATACAGATCTTTCATAAAATAATTACAATAATTTTGTGGAATTTAAAGAAATAAACACATTTTTAAATATGTTTTATTTATGTATTATAAAGTGTTTAATTATTGCTTAATTATTAATTAGTAATTATCTCAGAAAGTAGATTTGATAGCGCAAATCTGAAACCATATTTGGAATTGGCAGCAATATTCAATGTAGGATTAATCTTAATATTATAACCCGTAGACGTTTTTTGTATGTCGTGTATAATTATTTTTATTAATTTAAAAGTTAATTTCCTAAAAATATTTAGATTTTTTCCAAAATATTTTGTTTGAAAGTAGCTATTTCCTTTAATTTAAGTCTTGACTTAGGGACTGAAAACTTTCTAATGTATCGTCATTATAGCTGTTTAGGGTTAATTTTAGTTAGGTTTAAGTAGGTTAACCCTGACAATCAATTGGATTGGTTAGGTGAGTAGTTAATGAGATATTCTCGGACCTATTAACAGGAAATTTTAAACGAGATACTGGATACGAAACCTAAAATTTAATTAAAGAAGTTATTTCTATATAAATTCATAAATCACTAGAAAATTCCAGTGGAACGGGCGGAGTGCACATACACCAGTACGAGCTGTATCCAATCGTTTACATACCCACCACTCTAAAATGTTTCTAACTCAATGAGTACTTGTCCTAAAATTGTTATCGACCCGACAGGATTTTTGGTAAGAAAAGTACTCTAAAAAATTAAAAAGTTTTTAATTTGATTATTTTGTTTCGTTATTAGTAATGATAATCAAAAATATGTTACGAACGTAGTCTAAGAAGGCAATAATTATGGAAAAAAAAGATAATTGGTTTTATAAAAGTTATTAAATTTATCATATCTTAGTGAATTATTCTATAAACACATACCCAGAAAATGTCAACTTAAATCAAGTATTTTTTTTTTTTAATTAAAAAGCAATAATGTTAAAAATAAAATTTTAAATAATGGCAGATGGAAATGATTTGTGTTTATTAAATCATTGGAAGTATATGTATTTACGTGTGTTGATCTCTAAAGCACTTCCACTTTGGAGTGATTACCAACTTAGGTCCGCGTAATATGTTGTGTGTGTATACGTGAGAGAATTATAGGCCAAGAACAGTGAAAAACGCGGCCAAGTCGCGGCGGTTGCGGCCATAGACCGTTGTCCGGAATGCCAATACCACATAGTTGTGCTGGCCCGCGCCAACCGTTTCTATAAGGGTCATTAATTTTGTTTGAGAACCCGGTAAGTGGAGGATTAACGAATTAGCGGGCGCTATTATGTGCACCGGGACGGAAAAGGGCGCGTCCGCCGCATAATTTATGGGTGCCCAGGAAAAGTCAATTATCCGACATGCCGAACACCGCGCGCGCATTCTTGGGGTACTATCTCATCCACAATTCCCCCCCTCCCCCCCGTTCGTTTGGCTTTGTCCTGGAAACGACGACAGAAATGCGGCCGTTTTAATAACGTCTATGGTCACATATAAATGCACGTGTTGAAACATTTATCTACGACGCAAAGACTTAGAAAATCATCGACTAACTTGATTAAAGGCAAATCAAAGTAAATTGAATGATTATAAATGCCTCACTCAAACTGAGCGAGTCAACAAAAACCATTTACCATTTAATCGTCAATATTAATTATTTTTAAAAGACTCGGTAAATAAAATGTTATGGATTAATCTGACATCTTATCTATTTGATAAGACTAGCTAATTGTACAATTTAATACTATCGTTTAAACGACCGGCAAAAATCAACATTAGCCGATGTTGCAGTTTTAGCTGTTCAGTACTGTTACCGCTTTAGATACGTTTAGGACGGTATGTCGAGTGTCCGAATTTTATTTATAAAACTGTGTTAAAATGCAAAAACAACAGCAAATAACAACAATAG